GTTTGTTTGGAAGTTATTTTCTTTGCCTCATATTTGCAGCACTTTATAGGCCATAGTATTCTTGGGAAAACACAAGGCCTGGGACTTATTAATATAACAACATTTTGAATATGTGATGCCACTCCCTCCTTGGTTGTAGGGTTCCCTCAGGAAACATGTACACCCTGTGGGAGAACCTTTATAGATGATCTATTTTCCCACCCATCTCCATCTGCACTATTCTCTATTTGTCTGGAACTCTTGGTAGTTTCATGACTGTGTCTTGCTGTAGGTGCCAATATATTGATTTAGCAAGAGGTTCTTTTGTTTATTTTTATTTTTTAAAAGATTTATTTATTTATTTATTTATTTATACAAGCACTGGGTACAGTCAGAAGCATGGGAGGGCGAGAGAATTCACCAGAGCCAGAGTGGGGAACAGAACAGGCAGACTGATGAAATACACTGCTGAGGGGAGCAGCAGGAGCAGCAGGAGAGGTCTGTGCACGATGTGGGACCCTCGCCAGTGGCTGGGGATGAAACCAGTGCCGCAGAGGCTGCAGGCAGCTTCGCAGCCCAGTGCTCAACTGCTGCACCACTGGGGAGGCCCAAGAGGTTCTTTGAGCTTATTCACTTATATATTCAGTTCCTTCTGCAGGTTGGACATTTTCCTGTATTTCTGAAAGGTTTTTGTTCTGATCTCTTGCTGTTCCCCTTTTGGAATACCAATTATCCTTATGTTGCCTTTTCTCATGGAGTTGGGTAGTTCTTGAACTGTTTCTTCATTTTTTTTTCTTCATTTTTCTCTTTCTTTTTCAAACTGGGTCCTTTGTGTATTATTATATTTGAGATGATGGATTCAATCTTTCATTTAGTCTATTTTGCTCCAATAGCTTTCTCCAAATTTGTATCTTCTCTGTTGATATTTGTACATCCTACATCTCTGTTATTTTATTATTGAAAGCTTCAAATTTTATTTCTGTTCATTAACTTTATTTCTTAGTCCATTACTATATTATTCTGAATTTTGTTGTAGCTCTGTGATTAACCGTTGTCTGTTTTCTCCCACGTGTTTGATTTTATTTCAATATTTAACTCCTACCTTACAGGAAGATCTTTCAAATCTTTGAAATTGCATATTGGAGAGCTGTTCACTTCTTGTGAATTCACATCCTCTTGAGGTCTCATTGCTCAACCTTCAGGTCAGCTGTCTTCTCATTAGACAATTTCCCTCAATCTTCCTGGACCACCCGCAGTGATGGTTTGTGTTCTCTGCTTTTGGTGTGTGTGTCTCAACCTTTCTAATTCCCATGTGTGTTCACAGAACAGTTCCATGTGATTGCCCCCTCGGACCCCATTGTGGCCATACTGAGTGAGGACGTCACACTGTCCTGCTTCCTGGACCCAGTCATGAGTGCAGAGAACATGGAGTTGAGGTGGTTTCGGTCCAATATCTTGGAATCGGTGTTCATCTATCAAGATCAACAGGAGCGGAATGAGGAGCTGATGGTCCAGTATGCAGAGCGGACCTTACTTGTGGAAGAATTACTCAGCAAGGGGGAGGCTGCTGTTCACATCCACAAGGTCCAGGCTGCTGACAATGGCCTGTCAATGGCTGCAGCTTCAGAGATGGAGACTTCTATGAGCAAGCCAGTTTGGAGTTAGAGGTGGCAGGTTGGTAACATGGTTAGGCTTCTCAGTGCAGGAATTTAGTAGCTGGGAAGAAGCTAAAGACAATATAATTTAGTCTCTCATTTCATTTATGCAGAAGAAAAGAGTTATTAATTCTTTGTTGTATTAAACATAAATATACAGAAGACCTACTGTATGTCTGGGTCTGTTCTAAGCAGTTGGATCCATCAGTGAATCTAACCAAGTTCTTCACTCATGAGTTTGCTTTCAAGTGGGAGATAGAACAATTATAATAAATAAACAGGTTATAAATGATTTTAGGAAGAAATAAATGATGAGAATAAGATGCTACATTGCACAGTGGCAATGGACCAGACCAGCCATGTGAATCGGGGATTTTGCAAGTTTTAACAGCAAATGGGAGCTCAGGTTGGTCCCATCTGGCAAATACTCAGAGGAAATGGGAATTTAGTTAAGCAGATATCTGGTGTATCTTTCCCCCCGGTTTTACTGAGAAACAATTAATATACATCATTGTGTGAGTCTAAGGCATAGAGAATGATAATTTGATTTATACTTATAGTGAGATGATTGTCAAAATAGGTTAACTAACATCCATATTCCAATTTAAATATAGTAAAAAGACAAGTAAAAGAAGCAAAACGGGAAACCTTTCTAGATTAAGAAAAACTCTTAGGAGTTATGCCCTTAACCACTTTCCTACAGCACTGTTAGCTTTAACGAACATGATGTAAATCACTGGAAACGCTACTTCTGTGTGGAGGGAATAGTGAGTGTGGGTGATCTGGGGTGAATGTGTGTTTTGTGTATTCTTGGCTCCCATGGAGTCCTCATGGCTGGTGGCAGAGTGTGTGGAAACAGGGTGTTAAGAGGTAACAATACTGTTATAAAAAGATGTCATGGGTACAGGAAACATGGGTTGAGATTAGTTGCTCAGTGCTATCAAAGGTGGTCATAAAAATATATAGGAAGTAGACCTTGACCTGGGCCTTCATTCTATCAAACAAGATTCCATAAAACCCCTAGACCAGAAGAAAGGATGATGGAGCCCATGGAGCATGGGGATTGTGGTTAATAGCAGTTAGATTCTTGGGTTTGGAGTGCGGGACTTTGAAGGCACCATTTGGTAAAAATTGTGAGGGAAGCAGAAAGAAAGAAGAGGGTCGGGAAGAAGGCAGTTGCAGAGAGAAGACTCGGGGTGCTGAGTTATGGTGTTTGGATGTGGAACTGACGAATATTTTCAGCAGAACAGTTCTTAGAATGTAGACTCTGGAGTAATAGGAGGAGAATGGAGGGGAGGAAGTCTGGAGGCATGGAGTTGTGTATGGGGTGGGGAGGAGGATGCCTGACTTCTCATTGTGGTGGTGGGTGGACGGGAGGTCAGTCATCAGTGAGGATTAGATACAAAACCCAAATGGATGCTTAGAATTGGGACTGAGAGTTCAATGGGGGAAGCTTGGATCACAAAGGTTTCCAAGTTTTGTGTGTGTATTATTTAATGTTAGGAACATTGTGATATGTATCAGTTATCTATCACCATAATGATGCTGTGTAAAAAACAACCACAGAGAAATGTATTGGTGGCCTGTAGTAATGGATTTGTATTACATTGGGCCTGTGAGAACTTCAGAAAACCTGGGGGGGACTTGACTAATCTCAAGTGGCCTCACTCATTTATCTTTGGTCAGATAAAAAGGTCACCACGTGAACCTTAGCTGAGCTTGTTACATGAATCGTCACTGACTCCTGGTTGTGGGAGGACAGCATCAGCTGGAAAGGCTGGTGACAGGCCCTGCTCCATGAGCTCATCCTCCAGCACCTGGACTGAGATGTCCTTCCATGGAGATGGCAGAGGAAAGACCCATGGGGCCAGCACTCTAAACCTGCTTGACTCAAATGATCTCTCATTAGAGACATATCACCTGCCTGATTTCAGAGTCAGAATGTGAGGAATTGAAATGTAGGTGCCAGAGTATGAGGTAGAAGCATGAAGAATTAGGGGTATTTTTATTACCATCTTAGCACAGATGAGACAAAAGCATGAGTTCTGATGTAGAATTGTGAGTGTGAAGTTCATGAGCGGAATCCTGGTAGATATACCACAGAGATGGATCTATGGGGTAGGTCGGAGAGCTGGTGAGTTGAAATCTGGAAGTGATGTATGAGGAGATACAGAAGTTGAGGGAGAAGATGCCCTGGAGAGGGTGTGAGATAAGATGGGGCTTGGAGGACTGGACCCTGGGACTGCGCTGCCTTCAAGGAGTAGGTTCAGGGAGAAAAGTCAGGAAAGAGGCTCAGCAGGGGGTCTGTGGTGTAACAAACCACCCTCAAGATAAGAGAAAGCAAAGAAGATGGAGGTGGTTTCAAGAGGAAGTCTGGACTGTCCCGTGCTGAAGGGAGCTGAGTGAGGAACATGAGGATTGGGGCTGCCAAGCAGGAGACTCCTGTTGAGTCCCCAGAGCAGATGAAATGGAGCTGTAGGAGGAGCTGCTCTGGGGTGCAGGTGAGAAGTTGTTTATGGACTTTGAAGTGCACTCTTGTAACAGGGAAAGAAAAGACATTCTACAAAGATTTGAGAATATTTACAAAATTATAAAAAATAATAGGTAGAAAGGTAGAGATTAGCAATCATGACCAAACACTTGTAAACTATGAGAGGGGAGGGTAGAGGAGAGGAGAAGAGGAGATAAGAAAGAGGGCGGGGGGAGAGAAAGAGAGAGAGAGAGAGAGAGAGAGAGAGGAAGAGCCCAGAGAGAGAATGAATGATGGGAACAGCCCTTATGAGAGGTGGTGACCTGTGGGGCTAGAGCTCAGGGAACAGTCTCTCTTGGGGAGATTCCCTCTCCCTGAATCACAGAAGACCGGAAGACCAGTTTGGTACAGAAGAATTTTGGGTGATTAAAACATGCAAAAACATCTATTCCACAAATCTTCCAATTTCAAATATTTTTTGTTAACTGGAGAAGTCCACTCAAAAAAGATTTTATGTTGACAAAATGTAGGCCTCGGTATCAATTAAACCCTTGAAAATTTGGTAGCACATGCCTTGTTCCTCTGGATCTGGAGTTTGATCTGGAGTTTGATCTGGAGTTTTATCCTTGATGTATTTATCCTTAGGATTTATATGTTTGGAGACAGAGACGTGACATTCCTTCTCCTCTCCTGTGGGCATCATCTTTCTACCTGCAGGGCTGGGTGAGGAGCCCAGGTCCTTCCAGACTCTCATGCTCCTTCTTTCTGGTCTCTGTGTCAGGGCAATCTCGTTCCTATCTCCCCAGACCCTCCAGAATACACCTTGACAGCCTCCCCTGGAGGTGTGCACAGGAGGGCCCTGCCCAACCTGGCGCTCTCTCATCTTCCCTCTGCAGGTGTGGGCTCTGCCCCCCAAGTGCACATCACGGGGTCAGAGGAGGATGGGGTGCGCGTGGCGTGCACAGCCTCGGGCTGGTTCCCGGAGCCCCAGGTGCAGTGGAGACACCCCTGTGGGGAGCAGTTCCTGGAGTTCTCCAAGGTCTACACCCAGGACACTGAGGGGCTGTTCAGTGTGGAGGCTGCTCTGGTGGTGAGAGACAGCTCTGCGGGGAGCGTGACCTGCTCCATCCTCAATCCCACCCTGAGCCAGGAGAAAGCCATGGCCATTGTCATCCCAGGTCAGAGCTGCACCCCCCTCCCCACTTCCTGCAGGGTCAGAGGGAGGGGCCGGCATCCCCAGGGTGCTGGGCTGGAGTGTCCTAGGCTGTGTCCTGATGGGGTCTCTGTGGGGTCTGTCTGCAGAGCCCTTCTTCCCGCGGGTCTCTCCCTGGAAGCTGGCTTTCCTGGTGATCCTGCCCTTGCTGCTGCTCCTGCTCCTGGGGGCTGCCTGCTACACCCAGAGAGAACATTCCACACAGATGCGGGAGCTGCAGGAACAGAGGAATTTGCACCAGGCGAAGGAGCAGGACAGACAGACCAAGGAGGAGGCCCTGAAGGACACAGGTAAGGTCCAGGCTGGTGAGTGTGCAGTGGGTGCTGAGAGGGACAAGCTGACCACAGAGCCAGAGCCCAGAGTCCACTCTGCAGGGAGGTCAGTGCAGGAGGCTGAGGAGACCCAGAGAGGACAGAGGAGCTTGGAGGTTGGATGGGTCTGATGATGGACCTTATAGGTCAGAGAGAGGGTCTTTTTATTGGTTCTCTAGGCACACAAGTTTTCTTTTTAAGGATGGAGTTTTTGCATATTGTTTTCATTCTCTTTTAGATGAACTCCAGGAAATTCTAGGTAAGTTCTGCTCTCCCTCCTGAATTCTCTGTGTCCCCTTCCCAGGAGACATTCTCATTCTTAGCTCACCTGTTCCCTGTGTTTCTTTTCAGGCCTGAGGAAGGCAGCTTACCTGGCTGGTGAGTGATGTTCCAGGTGTCCTGGGTCCCTGTCCCCTGTGCTCAGGGGTCCCTCCCCTTGTCTGTATGAGCACAGACATGTGGGTAGTAGTTGGTGAGAGGTAGAACACTTCTTCCGAGCTCTCCCAGATCTGGGTGCTGTTTCTGCCATTGTGGGGATCCTGTGGGGTGGTGACCTCTGGAGTCTCCTGCATCCTGTTCCCATTCAACCCCGACCGTCCCACCATGGTGCTGGCTTTCTAGCCCTCAATGCATCTTGTTCTTGGTCAGCACCTGGAAGCAACAGCCAGCTGTTCTGAGATCTCATAAATAACTGGGCTCTTGAAGTTTAGGAGTGTGACCTCCTCCTGCCCTCTCTCCCCAAACCCCACCCAAGGAGAGTCTGTTCTCTCTGCTCCTGAAGATGCTGATCAATAGTGATGGGACAAGGGGTGGGAGGGGGTGGGGAGACTTTCCATCTTCCAGAGAGTGTTTATCTCTAGAAATATTTTATCTGAGAAATGTGGGCCACTTCTACTGTGGAGCTGGTCTATGTACATGTGTTTTTATTTTATCTTAGTGTTAGTTTCCAGAGAAAACTGAATATCATCCTTATGGAGTTATATACACATTAAAAAATTGTATACAGTTTTGACTGTATACTATTCCGAGTAGCAGGTGAAACGAGTTTTTGAAGGTTTATGGGGCCTAGAGTGGTTCAGTGATTTGCCTAAAGCCGCACAGCAGCACCAGGCAGGGCAGGATCAGTCTGTCCTGCAGGCTCCTGACCTGACCCAAGGTTTCCAACCACCCCCTGTCTGCACAGGGCAGGAGGTCATGACCTCTTAGACTCTCCCCTCAGCCCCCACCTGCTTGAGAGTCTCACATGTAGAACAGGGGGAGACCAGGGCCCCTGGATCACATGAGCAGGAGGTTGTGCTGAGGTCTCACCTGTGTGTTCCCTTCCAGCCTGGAGGAAGGCCCAGCTGTACGCAGGTGAGTGGCCCTGAGGGTCTTGAGACCCCCTCCAAACCTCCCTTCTGCCCCTTCTCTATCAGGGGACCCCACCAGGAAGGGGTTGGGTTTCCTGGCCTCCTTTCACTCTGGAGCCTCCTGAGAACTGCAGCCCCCCCCCCCCCACTTGTGAGCACAGACCTACCTCCACCTGCCCCGTCCTCCCTACAGGTCATGTTGGGTCAGGACACTCTCTGACCCTCTGTCACCTGGTCTTCCTGTGGGTGGGGACAGGGTGGGGTCAGTGTGAGGAGAGGCTGCAGCAGGGACAACTCTGTGGGTGAGGAATTGCTGTTCTGCAGAAGGTTTCAGGAATTCTGCTTGTCTGTGTAAGAGTCAGGTCTTGCTAAGGGGTCCTTGGTTATGGATCCTCATGGGTCCAGGATCCCATTCTATTTTGGATCTAGTTTTGGTTTTTCCTGTTTTCCTTGGTTCTCTGTCTCCTCGTGCTCTGGTTCATGTCAAATGGGATTTTCCCTCTAAGCCTTTTTGGTTGCTGAGGAATCAGTTGTTTAGAGCAGGTGTTCTGAGTCCAGGTCAGAGCTTCTGGGGTGTTTATCACTCCCGAGTGGGGTATGTGAAAGGTCTGAAATTACATGTAAAACCCTGTGTGTGTGTGTGACAAATTTAAAAATGTAATATATAAGTGTTCAAAACCATCACCTTCTGTTTTAGGAGAATTCTCTGAAATGCTTAGGATCATTATTATTATTTTTTTAAAGATTTATTTATTTATACAAGAACCAGGGTACAGGCCAGATGCATGGGAGGGTGAGAGGATTCACCAGAGACAGAGTGGGGAACAGAACAGGCAGACTGACGAAGTACACTGCTGAGGGGAGCAGTGAGCACGACAGGAGAGGTCTGCTGTGCCATGTGGGACCCTCACTGGCTGGCTGGAATGGAATCAGCACTGCAGAGGCTGCGGACAGCTTCACAGTGTGGTACTCAATAGTCTGTGCCACCAGGGGAGGCCCGGGATCATTATTATTTTTTTGGTGTTAAGGTATGAGGATTGGAAAAGGAAGAAACTTGAATCACTTTAATTGTTTCCCAGATTATGTGTTGCGGGAAAATTAGGAAAAAACATTGTATGGAGGAAGAGCAGACATGGAAGGAAGCAGAGAGGTGTGTGGGAGAAGTGCCTTCTAGAGGTTTGGATGGACAGAGGGACTGAAGTGAGGCCAAAGGTCACAGCCTCTATGTTTGAGTGTGGGCAGAGGAGAGGCAGTGCCACGTTTGGTCATAAAATAGAATGGGCCCCTTGACCCCTTTTTGAAGTATTTAAAAAAAACTTATGTTTTAAAAAAACATTTTTGAGGCAGTCATCTAAGTGAGTGGCCTAATAGGTGCTCCGCCCTCCTCCACCTCCTGCCCAGTTCCCCAGGGAGGGTCTGCGCCGGGTCCTGCAGGGAAGGTCAGAGATGCTGGTGAAGGGAGATCTGAGCCTCCTGAGCCTGAGTCACATGCCCTTTCCCTGCTCAGGGGTTTGTTTATGGTCCTGGACACAGACACAGAGAGGGGGGCTGTGGGGAAGGGTCCTGGGGACCAGAGGTGTGAGGACCCTCCTGAGAGTCTCCCTGGTTCTCCTGGGGACTCATTTTCACACAGTGAGAATCACAGAGTTGTCTTTACATCATTCCAGCCTCTGCTGAAATCATGTGTCATGCATTTTAGCATAGGCCTTTTTTTTTTTTTTTTGGCATACCCCCCTTTTTATTTTTAAAGAAATGCCATTAATACACTAGAAATAACAGTTTCATATTGACAGGTTCTCAGATGGATACATGTGTGATCTCATATTATTTGTAAACTAAACAGAAATTTTTGGGTAAAGGTATGCCATAAAATTAACTGACTAGAGCAGTGAACTGTATAAACAGTATTGGACAGGCTGTATCTCAAATTAAATGCCACCTCTCTTTTCTCCTTTTCTTCCTTCTGCCACTTTTTTTCCTTCTCTACTCCCTCTTTTTTTTAATATAATGCAAGAGTTATGAAGTTGTATTTGTATGTCACCTACTGTCTTGGATGAAGACTGGTAAATTTAAAATCCCATTTTTCCTCAAGTTGGTCACCGGGCTACCCAGTCATTTTACATGTTTTTGTTTCCTTTGTCTTTTTTCTTAAAGATCTCTTTATTTATGCATACAAGAACTGGGGTACAGGCCAGAATTGTGGGGGGTGAGAGGATTCATCAGAGACAGAGTAGGGAGCAGAACAGGCAGACAGACTGAAATACACTGCTGAGGGGAGCAGCAGGAGAGACAGGAGAGGTCTGCTGAGCCATGTGGGTAGCTCCCTGGGGTCGAACTCATGTTGCAGTGGCTGTGGCTAGCTTCATAGTGCTGCATCTTAAACACTTGCACCACCAGGGAGGCCCCTACATGTTCTTGTTTCTTACCAAACAATTCAACAAAGATGGAAATGCCAGTTTCTCTGAGTGAGCTTGTGCAGGTGCGGCTGGTGTCACACATTTACACACCATGTGCACAAGAAGATGTTGTTTCTTATTCCTGAAAATGTGGATCCTGGATTCTCCTCTCTCCGCCTCTCTGCTCACACGGTTGGGAAGCTTAGGCTCTCCCCTGACGACCTCTCAGAGTCTTGCTGTGTCTGACCTGAGTGTTGGGGAATGACCTGCTTCCTCCTTCCCAGGCAGGTGTGGGGTGGGGGATGACATGGCCTTGGGGCTTTGGGGTAGAGAGGTCTGTGCTCCTCTTTCAGTCATTTCAGGGGCTCCCCTGGGGCCACTGGTCTAAGAGCCTGTGTGGTACCTGCTGAGGGGGGCAGGCACATCCCGTCGGGTCATTAGGGCTTGTGGGTGACCCTCCCTCCACAGCAGAGTCAGGGTCTGGGTCTGTCTCTGCTCAGCAAATTGATAAATCTTCTGGCTCCTTCCTCCTGCCCAATGTCCTTGTCCTCCTCTCCTCACCCATCCTTCCCTCCCTGCCTGCTCTCCAGGCCCCTCTCTCTCCCTCCACCTCCCCTAGAGCAGGTGATACTCCTGGGTCCTCATCTCTCCACAAGCATCATGGGGTCCTGGTGCTCCCTCCAGACCCTCCCCTGCCAGGGCCCTCAGGTTGCCTGGGCCCCCACATGGGGCATGAGAGCTCCATCTGCTGCTGACCCACGTCACCACACCCTAAGCAGCGTCACCCACACAGTTTATCATCTCACACGCCTGCAGGGCAGACACCTGAGACTGTGTCCTGGGACTAACTCCAGGGTCTGGCAGCTCCTTCCTTCTAGGAGCCCCTTCCTCTCCCAGGATCTAGGGTCCCCTGCATTGACTAGAGACCCCATCCTCTGTCTACACAGCTTGCAGTGCACCCTCTTTATGGCCCTGCTGCCGTCACCATGTGACTGTCTCTGAGCAAAGGGGCAGGGTCACGGCTGTTAAGGCTCATGTGATTGGTTCTACCTGGTAATCATCAATAATCTCCCCTTTCCTGGTCCCCATCTCTGTCCCACCTGCAGATTTCTCTTTTCTCTGTTAAGGACACATATTTATGGGTTCATGGGATGAGGACATGTACATCTCTGGAGCCATTACTCTGCTTTACAGAGAGGTTTCTTTTTTTTTTTTTAAATAAACCTTTTATTAATCTTTCATGTGTGTGCCTGCAGTATTTTTTTTTTTTTTAGATTTTTTTTTTATTTTTTTATTTATTTATACAAGCACTGGGTACAGTCAGAAGCGTGGGAGGGTGAGAGAATTCACCAGAGCCAGAGCGGGGAGCAGAGCAGGCAGAAAGACGGAAGTACACTGCTGAGGGGAGCAGCGGGCGGCAGGAGAGGTCTGCGTGCCATGTGGGACCCTCCTCAGGTGACCGGGGAGTAGCCGGGGATTGAACCAGCGCTGCAGAGGCTGCGGGCAGCTTTGCAATCCAGCGCTCAACCGCTGCGCCACCGGGGAGGCCCTACAGAGAGGTTTCTTTTGGAAGTTTCTACCTCTCTGGGCTATTCTTGTAGGAGACAGATGAGTCAATCCAATATTTTTATGTTCTTCTCTATCTGTAGGGATGGTTTGTTCCCACCACCATGAAAATGTGGAGAGATGTCACTAGTGCTTGATCCTCTCAGTGTGTCCATGTCCCCTATTCTGCATGTATCTCTCCCCCTAGAGCCCTCTCCAACCCCTCCTGAGTGGTCAGGACCCTCTGCTGAGTGTCCTGAGTCTCCTCACTCATGTTGTAACAGGGTGGTCCCCAGGAAAGGGGGAGGTTCCCTGCCCCACCCAAGGGAGGGTGGAGCTGAGCAGGGAGAGAAGAAGCTGCAGAGGAGACTGAGGAATGGAGAAATCAGGATGGAGAGCAAAAAGGATACTTAAAGGAGGCACATGGAGCCGAGAGACACGTGAAGAAAATACGCTTGCCTTTTGGTCGTGGACTGCGTGACACAGATGTGGGTGAGACCCATGGGGAGGTGACCATGGCAGCTTTTATCTTGATTTTGATTTTGCTCTTTTCCTTCCAGGCTTGTCTGGTTGTTTCTGACCCTTTTCTGTGGGTCCCCACTGGAAGATGCTTTGGACTTGTGCAGGCTTTGGGGCCTTGCTCTGGGCTAATCCCATATGGATGGAGTTTTACCAACGAGGGGACGGGTAACTTTGGGTGCTTGATTTAGAAACTAGATTCTCTGCCTTTCCTGTCTTGTTTCCTAGTTGTATTAAAGTTCCTTCCCATTAAAGTCTCCTATGTTTTGTGTTGATGCGGCGGATGGCAGAACCCATTTAAAATAGGCAGGTTTGCGGGGTTTGGGCTACCCCTCTCCCTGTCCTGTAACAATGTCACAGTCACCACCACGTGCTGCTCAGTCAAGGTATAGCTCTGTCTCTCTTTCTCTCACTGTTTTTTGTTTGCCAAAGAGATTTACTTGGAAACAAAATATAAAGCTCTGACTACCAGGCTCCATATCTCTTGGCTTCCACAGGCAGCCCCTGCTGTGCCTTTGCTCCCAGGGGCAGGAGCATCAGCCAT